ATATCGTATGGTCCAAATTGAATGGTACTGTTTCTATAATAATAATGATACTGAATTATGATATTCGCCCATTTTTCCATGCAGACAATTGAATTATTACCTACAAATTGTTTTGAAGGATTACTCCAAGGGATCTGTCTGAGAAACAAATATTTTGATTTCTGTTCGGAAACGGCTGTCATATACATCACACTTATATTTTGTGGGAGTCATCTATTTGTTATATTTCCGATCAATGAAGGTTAGGCAACAATGAAGGACATCGTTGAACAAGTAAATTTGATAGTCTATCATTTGACTGCTATTTTAACGATAGAGGTTCGATACTCTTCCATCTCGGTCGGACATGGGGGTTTTAAATAATAGTTTGTGTGACGTATCATATCGTAAAAAACAGAAACAATACTTTAAATTACTGAAACACAAGAAAACTGTTTTCGAAAATGATGTTAAAAGTATCTCTAGATTAGTAACTGAGAAGTGCTGGAAGTTATACAATGAGTAATCTCTCCTAAAATATCAAAAAAGCAGCACTGAATTCGGGTGAGAATCGCCAATGTTCGTCTTTCCAACACGCAAGATGACTAAACAGAGGAGATAGTTAAATAAGAAGGTTTGATGTTCTCATAAACATTTTACTAGAGTTTTCTATCGTTAAGCATTAGATACTCTTAGTTTTCGATCGGCATTATGTGAGTATAAAATGAAATAGTTTACGTATACCGTAGAAAACGGAAACAATTTACTTTACATTACTGAAATACAAGAATAAACTACTTTCCAAAAAAGATCTGTTTAGTCGGCATCAACGATGTTTTAAAACTGTACAAACTCAATTTATTCAAATCAGCAGGTTGTTTGAGTTTTAATGCAATGGCAGATGTTTCGATCAATTATTGTAAGTTTAAAGAGACGTTGTTATGAAGACTATTGCCTGTTGTTCCCTTCCAAATTAAGGCTTTTGTTAGCAAAACTAAGAACAACCCAGTATAGGCCTACGTAATCATCGAAAAGGGTCAGTATTCTTTGCCTGAAATTCCATCTGTTAAAAAAATTAAATTCATTGAATTATTTTTATTGTAATTAATTGAATGAATTGTAAATATCATCGTTGATTACATTTAATACTTATATGACGTTGCAATGTAGCCCCGTATCTTCATTCAAGCACTGTTTCTATAACTATACATATAT